GGCATGGAGGACTGGGTTTTCGTGATTTAAAGAGCTTTAATTGGCCTCTCCTTTCTAAAGCTGGTTGGCAACTCCTTGAAAATCCAGATTCTTGTTGGGAGACTGTCCTTCAAAGAATTTATTTTCCAAGTGGCTCTTTACTTTCAGCTAGCCCTGGTCGATGCCCCTCTTGGTCTTGGAGGAGTATCTGTTACAGGCTCTCTCTGCTTAATAAAGGTCTTATTTGGCGCATAGGTGATGGAAGCTCAGCCCATATCTGGGAAGATAATTGGATACCAGATCTACCGGGCCACATTCACCCCTATGCCTACAAACTGTGACATTCACATGGTCAAAGAGCTCATGCTGAATAATCCTAAACATTGGAAGTTGACCAATGATGGAAAATATTCAATGAAATCTAATTATCAGCTTGCAAGATCTATTGCTGCAAAGTGTGGGCTAAAATTTGGAAACTTAAATTTCCCTCCAAGCTAAAAAATTTCATTTGGCGAGCAATCTCTAATGTTATAGCAGGAAAATTATTCCTTCCTCATGCGGCCCTCATTGTGACGACCCTGTTGAAGATGCCATGCACTTGTTGTGTAGGTGCCCGTTTGCAAGGGTTTTATGGCTAGCTAGTGGGGGTTAGCCATTCGCTCGGGTGACATTACTCAGGAATCCTTCGAAGAGTGGATGGAGTTCGGTATTCATGCTTCCCAATCGGAGTTCTCTATTTTAGAGGAGTGGTTCTAAAAATTTGTAATTAATTGTTGGGGCATCTAGTGAGCTCGCAATACCTTGGTATTCCAAAGGCGGAGAATCACCCCCAAGCGAGTGATAGAGTTGGGTTCTACCTTGTTGAAGGAGTTGCTTGCCTTAACCTCCCTAGACTCGCAACAACTACCTTTGGTGAGAACAGACATGTTTTGGTGCCCCCCTCAAGGCTGGATCAAAATAAATTTGGATGCCAGTTCTATTGTGAGTACGAGTAGTGGCTCGATGGCCTGTAAAGTTAGAGACCACTCGAGTTGAATTATAGGAGGTTGTGTCTTATTCTTTCTATGTGGTTTAGTTGAGGAGGCTGAAAGACGAGCGCTAAGACTTGTCTGTCTAGAGGCAGATCGAGGAGGATTTCAGAAGGTCATGTTTGAATCAAATTCTAAGTTGCAGTTGAAGGGGTGGACCTTGCCAAATCCTCCCCGGAGTCTCTATCCTTCTCCCCTCTTGGGGCCATCTAGCACGATATCTCCTTGCTTATGAAGACTGATTTCCTTTTCTCACATTAGTCCTGAATGTAATTCCTGATGCAGTCGCTAAGCATGCTTTGCAACTACCTTCAAGGGGTGTTGTTGTATTTATCTTTAATCCTTTTTTTCAGTAATGTAATATCCTCTTAAGTACAAAAAAAAAAAAAAAAAAAAACTTGGAACAATGAAAACTTGACCATCGAAAGAGTTGCATCTATCCACTAGCCCTCCTATTTTTCTTCTTGTAAATTAATTAAAAATTATTTGATTTCTGATTTCATAAGCAAGTCATAAGAACTCCCTCATTAGATGAACTGAATCTTTGAGGTTAAGGATATAAGTTTCTATTTTCATGGTTGTTCACTATAAACAGTTAGTATACACACACATTGTCTGTGGATTTCTTGGATCAACAGTAAGAACTTTGAATCGATTAAAAGTTATACACTTAAATTACAAACCTACTTAAACATTCTATTTGCAAAAGCACATTTCTATATTATTGCCTCACCAGATAAAGCAGAGATAACCATAGTAATCACATTACCAATATAACTCTCCGATATCTTAAGAAAGGACAATACAAAAACCAAAGGGAAGCAACTCTGATGTCACAAGTTCTAATTTTTTTTCATTGGGGAGAGTTTAAATTTTCAAATTTCATTTACTCCCACTAAAAGTTCATGATTAAAACCAGAATCCAGTTCACAATTTTTACAGTACAATCCAGATAAGTAGCTCCATTTCCTTATCTGAGTGACGCCTTCATCAATATTGAGACCTTCAATTTATGATTGAGGCTTCACAGAAACCGCTTTACAGATAACAACCAAATAAAAATAAACGCAGATTTAGTTTTTTTATAAACAAGGTCCTTTGTTCAAGTTGCCTTTGATCAATGAAGAGAGAGGCTTGTGTCCATGTAAGACGCCAATCAATTAAAGCAAAGAGGTGTAATAAAGGGAACCATTGGAATTTAAAAAAAAATATTAACTGCATACGATGTCATGTGCTAACAAAGATGGAGGGAGAATTAAAGGATCGGAGAGGTTTTTGTCTATTGATGTCATCTAAAAGGAGAGGTCTAAGCCCAATTAAAAAAGTAAGAAGATGTTTCAGTATTTAGGTGAAATATCAAGGGAGGTTTAAGTCTTTTGCCTTTTCTTTTTTTGTAAAACCCAATTTTAATAGGGGATTAATTAACTCATAGAGTTGAGTTTCATTTAGAAGTAAAGTCCTTTCGCTCTCTACGAAGGGTTGGAAGGAGAAAACTGTACATAAGGCACTTTATAAGTCCATCCTATTTCTTGCACAAAGTAAGACCGAGTTCCCATCAATATCAATTCCTCTTTAAAGAAAGTAGAGAAAGGACATGCTAGAGTGGGGAAAGGAAGATGTTGGAAGTGGCTCGGTTACAGAGTGAAAAACCCGCCCCAATCACGTATACAACTACATTCTATGTCACGTTTAAATCGGGGGAGAATGACAGTTCATCCCAGTGTCAAAATTTTTAGGCCTAAAATATAATTGGGTTACGTGTCAGTTCGGAATTGATGTCAATTCACAGGCAGGCATTGGTGTATAGACTGTGGGCTTTTGATATTTTAAATGTTCATAAGTCTGTAATGAAATTCAGAAATCTGCATTGGGTTTGTCCATACTTTTTCTGTTGAATCTGTTTGGGACATGTTACATGTAAAACACCAACCCCAACCTCAGCCCAACTAAAATACAAAAGAAATAGAGGGAAGCAATTTCACATATTGTGATGTTCAAGTAATTGCCACCCGGACTTAGAATCCATTTGGTTTGCGGAATAGGGGTCTTGAATCAAAATCAGAATCCAACCCTTTGGATGGGAGGAATCAGAATCCATTTTCCACTCCTAATGGAATGATATCTCATCTCCCTCAAGAATGAGAATTCATTCTTAGGGGTGCAAATGGATTGGATCAATGATCCGATCCGATCCTATTTGGTCGAATTTGGATCACCCAAGTTCGGATCTTCGGATCGGATCTGATAATAAGATCCGATCAGAAATTGGATTGGATTCGGATTCCCCCCTTTTCGATCTGAAAAGATCCAATCCGATATATATTATGCATTTATAAATATAAACATAATATATATATATATATATATATATATATATATGTTTGTATGTGTGTGTGTTATTTATTAACTTATAAATATAGTTTATATTATATTTTATAAATTTTTTATATTATTTATTTATTTATAAAAACATATATATATATATATATATATATGATGAAAATGGTTAAAAAATACTTGTCCTTTTTGTTTTTACTTTATATAATTTATTAATTTTTAAAGAAAACAAGTTGGATCGGATTAGAATCAAAGATTTGACTTACCAATAGGATTCGAATTCAAATTCAAATCGAGTCTTATCAGATCTGATCGGATTGAATCCAACATGAATGGTATTGGATTGGATTCAAATATACCCCGATTCAAATCCAATCCGATCCGTTTGCATCCCTATGTATTCTAGTCAATTCCAAATCCCAATTCCAATTTTTGAACCAAATAGATGGGAGGAATAGGCCATTTTGATTATGATTCCAATGGATTTTAATTCCAATTCCAATTCCGATTCTGATTTTAATTCCAACTGTGAACCAAATGGATCCTTATTAAAATTAGTGCCAGTAAATAGTATAAATAAATTAAACTAAATATTATTAAAATATTATATGATATCAAAATTAAAAGTGGCTGTAATATTGCAATTTATGAACAAAATAAATTAAAAATTGCTTACATTAAACATGGAACTACACCATTTTAGTAACACAACATTCAAACCATCTTAGATGGATCAAAATATAGAAACAAAATCGAATTCTATCGTACCAAATATGGGTACATCTAGACCTGGCAAAAAGTTGACTCAACCCGCGAACCCGACCCAACCCAACCCAAAAAAGTAGGATTAGGGTCTAATATTTAACCCGAATGTGAAAATGACCCAACCCAAAAAAAACTAGGTTGGGTTGGGTCATGGGTCAATCCGCTGATCCGATTGTCAAGTCTAATTGGGATTATTCATAGGTCAACTCTAACCCGAACATTTAAGGTTAGGGTCTAGCATTTGACAACCCAACCCGAACCCGACCCACCCAACCCAATTGCCAGGTATCCATATTCCAATTATACACCGATGGAATTCAGATAACTCTTAATAATGGAT